TTAACTTTCCGTGTAATATAACTTTTGTTTGCGCTCATAAAGTGATCGCATGCCGGGTTTTGTCGGCGGCAGACCTAATAATGGGCCTCAAATAGCAACTCGTTTAATGTCAATATTAAACAAAATGTCATAACTAAAAAATAACTGTTTTCATTTTTATAAAATATAAAACTGCTTTTGTGTGACGATATTCTATACCATGTAATATCTGAATAGAATTGAGTCTCTATTTACATTTTAAGTGTCGTATTTCTTTAATTTACATTGTGGCGTATTCTAGAAGCAAACCCAAAATCGAAATAAACACTGCAGAAAATAAAGATTTTGTAAAAGCGCCTGTCCCCGGGGAGTCCGTAGTTTTCAAATTTAGCGCTACTTTTAACAAAGTAGATTAATAAACAGTGTAAATTTATCCACTTTATTTTCTTCTAAAATCGAAACTTGATACAGTATTTGTACATAATTTAAGAAACCTTACATGTTAATTTAATATTTTCGTCTCCTTTCAGTCAACATTGATAATAAATTAAATGCTTGTTGAGTATAGACAGCAAGATTCGTTTTATTTACTTCAGATTTTGCTGTTAAAAGTACAAAATACATCAGTCCATACTTTCTTCAAGTGATACTTAAAGAATTGTGGTTAAGCGGGCTTTAGGGGCTTAAATTTCAGACTAGATTATTTTTGTACCCTCTTAGATTTCATAAGAAATGTACAAGTGGTATTTAAGTCTAAATGGAATCCGTCTTAGATGTTATTTAACTGTTTAAAATCCTATCCTGGTCGCATCAGAGATTCGTCGCCAGATTTTAGCGCTTCTGTAAAGAATGATGGTACCCGGATTACTTACAAGTCAGTTATCCGTTGATCCCCTACAACACCGCCTTGCCTCGTTTTGATTTTTATCACAATTAGCGGTATCGATTTCTGCTTTAATAAGATATTCGGGTTTGTCTGTCTGAAACAAAAAGAGAAGAAGATACAAAAATTGATACAAAAAAAAAACATCCAAGTCATTCAATGGGTGAAACCAATCCCTCGGATAGGTCAAAGTTTATCGTACTTGTAATGGACTTGTCCTCGTCAGGAAAACTAAATCAAAACAGAAAGTTATGCAAAAGATAATTAAGAAATTTGAAAAGAAATAAATTAAAAATCGTATGTTTGTGCTAGTCTTAGCCCGATTTGAGTGAAAACCGTTGTAACGCTTTTCAATTTTAGGTCATTTTTCACAATAAAAAAAATATACTGTAAAAACGAAGCGAGCGAATGATCCGAGATTTTGCACACAAGTTATTAGTATAAAATTAGTTCATCAAATAGAATATTAATCTCGAAAAATCATTTCCAGTCCCTTCGTGTCATAAAACCTCCCTTTAAAATTACGTTTGAGTACTTTTTTCGTCTATTTTCTATAATATTTACAAATAATATTACAAAAATGCAATCATGTATAATCATGATTTACAACTTTATATAGCTTAAACAAATTACATTTTAAGTGATTTAGATAATTTTTACATCACCATGGCATTCGGTAAATTAATTTTTGAAAATGTTTTCTTTACACACGAACTCGTTTATTTAAACTACAGTTGTTAATCGAAGAAAAAAAATGAACCACAAAGCGTATAAAATGAGCAAGAATTGATTTATACTTTTACGGAGAGCATCGTCTGTTAAATTTGGCGTGGATATCTTAATTGAATATCATGATTTTTGATTAATGTCCTTTATTCAAAGGTTATGACTAAACCTTGAACAAATATTTTGTTTTTCGCTTTCATCATCTTTATTTATTTTGTATTATTCTCATATATACAATCCTCAAATACCGAGCGCGTTTTTTTATTCAATGTCCGTGAATACAAAAATAAGGGGCGCACCAAATTTGTCTTTCTTCTTTTGAAGTTTTCATTGTCCCAACGTTTTTATTTTTCAATTGGCTAGTGAAATAGTAATCCCCGTGTCAACTTAGTGATATTGACTTTTAAAAGTAAGTTATTTACTTCTGTTTGGCGGTTTAATATAGTAACTTCTATATTTGAAGAGTCATTTATAGAAACATTATGTAGTTATTTTGATAAGTGTGGTCGGAGAAAATTGGGGCCATTACATTCTTTATAAAGTGACTGAGTCAACCCGATGGTATTTATGGTGAAATCTTTCAGAAAGAAAAACAGTTTTTGATGTGATTTTATTCTAGCAAGTTTAAACATTTGTTTTAGAAATAGAGAGTTCGTGTTGATTATATTAGTTTTGGAATATCATTTAATTGGAAAATGCGATACAGAAACCCGTGTAAGTTGTGATTTTATGGATATGTTTTTTTCTCTCTAAGATAGCAAATGTCGTCAAAAGATTATCCTGTCTTATATATTATAAATCTAGTTTGATTTTTGATCAAATGATTATTAATAATATTTTATAATTCAACATAATTATACTTTCCTTGTTGTTAATAGTTAGATATAATGGAAATGTTTCTATGTACACAGTATCTTTTTTGCCGTTAAATACTTCATTATTTTATCTCAAATCAATTAGATAAAATAACTTTACTTTAATTTAAATCATTTAGTTATTATCTCAATTCAGTAAGGTAACGCGTGGCATCCGTGGCCGAGTGGTTAAGGTCGTTGACTTCAAACCACTTGCCCCTCACCGCTGTGGGTTCGAATCCCGACAGGGACTTTGGATTCTTTCATGTGAGGAAAGCTAGCTAACGGAACGTCGTTGGACGCAGGTGCCCCTTCGTGCCTGAAATAATGCACGGAAGGGCACCTGAGGTCTTCCTCCGCCAGTAAAGCTGGAACGTCGCGATATGACCTATACTGTGTCGATGTGACGTAAAACCCAAAAACAACAAACAAACAGTGAGGTTAAACAACTATATCTCAATTCAGTGAGGTAAAACAACTTCATTTCAAATCAGTTAAACAAAACAACTGTGAGATAAAACAACTTAAACAACTAAATATAAAAAAATAAACAAAAACAATGAAAAGCTTTTTTTTGTCTTCGTCAGAAATATAGCGGAAAATCTCCTAGAACAAAATAGAAAAGAAATTTTACTAAAGACTTGTACATACGAAAATTCAACCTATACATTAAAAAGAGAGAAAGCAAACGAACTCCAATTACCCAACATAAAAATTGTTTTCTATGAAGATAAAGTAAAAGTAATGTAACGGAAAACTTACAAACTATCATTATTATTGTATATTATTAGGTGTGACATAAATATTACCTTGTGACTTAATATACATAATCTAAAATAAAAATATTTCATAAGATCTATAAATACGTTCTTGTTTGATGTCATCTTATGAAATAATTGCTGTTTTATTTATGAAATCTTATGAAACTATGCGTTTATGTTTTGAATATGACATTTATCTTTTATTATAATAACGTTAAAATTTTGAACAAGGGACGGTCAAAAAGTTCTGAAAAGCGGTTTTTATAATTTTATTCTAAAATATTGTTTCTCGGCATTTTATTTTACTATGTTTATACTTTAATTTAATGATAAATTTTGGATACAGTTCATATAATACAATATGATGATATATTATATATAAATATATTTTTTTGCTTACATGTAAGCTAATGTTTTTTTATGCCAAATAAAGATAATGTTATGCTATATATCAGTTATAAAGAAATGCTATATAAATAGACACTATATTGTAACATTTAAAGAAAAGCTTTATTTTTTAAAGCATTTGTAAGCTAATGTGATGTTATTCATTTAAAAATGTCTATTGATATTCAAAACATAAAATGTCAGACATTTTTTACTTGTCCTGGAGTTTTATAATTCTCTAGACACCATCGTAAATTCTGAATTGACATAAGAATTTAAAAGATTTAGTCAGGTCTGACAATCTTTATCTTCAAATATGCTGTCACAATTTGCATACAAAAAAGGGGAAGTTATAATAGATTACCAGGGGTCAAAGGTGAGCAGACTTGTAAACAACTTGTAATGAAATTTGATGTTTGTAATCAGGTTTATTGAAGTAAAGAAATAAAGAATATCTACAAATGCAGTTGTTCTGAAGACGGTGTAATGTGTCCATGTGCATAAAATTTGCATAAAGTGCAGTGAATGACTAAGTGTAATTTAAAATAGATTACCTATGTTTTACAAGGGAACAAATGAGTTATTATATTGTCTCCATTTAGAAGATTGAAGAGTTTTCGTTCAGTTTTTTGGTAGGTTTCAAAGCGTTTCCTATTTCCAGACTGTTAATATTGTCACTGAACGAATTTATTATCAAATATAATGAGCACTTAAAACACTTTGTAATTTCTTATTATAGATTTCTTATCAAACTTGTAATGAACAAGAAAATAAAAATGTCCAAGATACTATATTAAGTAAGACGTTAGAAAATAAAGTACAAGTACGAGTACATGTGCAGAATATACCATATAAAATGACCTTAACCTTTGTGTTACGATATTTTTCGTTTGAGTTTTTTTTTTCTTAAAAACTTTTGTCCTATTCAGTTCTCACAGTTTGCAGACGACATGAAATGTATACGGCAATTATATTGAAAGCATGATGGGTGCACTGAAAACTATATTTGTTTTGCTATGAATGTTTCTATCAAGTTATACAACATTTACAATTATTTGCAATATCATATCTCTGAATTTATCATACCAATTTTGAACCCACCTATCAAATGTATCTAAAAGGGATAATTATAAATTTCAGACCAATGTTTATCGCATTCAAGTTTATTATTAATATATGGCTTCATTGAAATTGAAGTATTATTGGTACGGTTTCTCATCTTTTCAAACTTAATAGGCGAATCGGAAAACTAAATGTTTACTGAATGTTAAATATTTGGTTACATTTCGTCAAAGCACAATACTGTATTTGACTTTTCGCTTTATTTAAACATGAATTTCTGAAAGATCTACACAATTTTAAACACATCTTCTCAAACACACTTCTCAAATTTATGATTTCTGTTTACAGATCCGGTTGTTACGCTGGAAAACACCCATGATTCCTCTTCCGGTATCGCATCTGACGTCACAAGTTCACACAATCAATCAGCGAAGATGTCTACTTTCAAGGGAGACAATTCTTCACTATCATCAGCAGATCATCGGCTTTCAGACTCATCGTTTGACCGTCAGTTTTCAGATTCATCAGTGTCTGTTGATAGACCGTATGTGAAGAAAAGACAGGGCGATGGAAAGTTTCCCTGGGCCTATACGCATGGAGCAAAAGTTGCTCAGCAAAATAGGTCAAATCTCGAGCGTTCTTACTTGTCGTCTGATTCTAGTGTACATTCGGATTATCGAACTCCTGTTATACACAATAGTGCACCGCCATCGTATGAGTATCACATACAAATGAAACAGATGAGAAATCAGGGCTTTAATAAACTCGACTTACAAGATACCGATAAGTTAATGCTCACTGCCGGAAAGGGGAAATCGAAAGTTCGACCTTCACCCTTTGACCTGATGACAGATGACGTCATCGTGAAAATATTTTCAAACTTGCCAACGGACCAATTATGTCGGTGTTCATGCGTCTGTAACAGATGGTACAGATTGGCATGGGATCCGCTCTTATGGAAGAAAATTGTAATAAATAATGAAAATGTTCATATAGATAGGGCATTGAAATATTTGACTAAACGACTAAGTTATAACACGCCAACTGTATGTGTGATAGTTGAGAAAATAAACTTGAACGGTTGTGAGAGATTAACAGACAAAGGCCTGCATGCCATTGCCAAAACTTGTCCTGAACTGAGACATCTGGAAATCCAGGGGTGCAGTAATGTCACAAATACTGCCCTGTTTGAAGTGGTCTCTTATTGTGTTAATTTGGAATACCTTGATACAACAGGTTAAGTCTTTTTTTTAAATCTCAATTCGGAATTTTCCATACAGTTTCAATAGTAACAGTTTCAAAAGCTTTAAATAAGGAAAGGGACGCAATTTGAATATGAATCGTTTTAAGTTTTACACTCAATATTCTCGATCACATGTACAAGTATAGGCTAATTTAATTATTTAAAACGTTTTTAACAGTAGTGATAATGAAAGTGGTCGTGTTCAGTTTAAAGTGAATTGGTCTGTAGTGCAATAAATGATTATGTTGATATTATTTATAGACATAACAACAAACCACGAAATAATTACGATGTATATATGGATTTTGTTGGCAAGTGTGAGATACATGATCCAATATTTCGTATATTTACATCACTGTTTATAAAATGTTCTAAAACAAAATATTATTATTTATCATATAAACGTTCATACTTGTACTTTATCACTTAGAACTTTATCAACATGTGTTTTTTGCCAATTAATAATTTATAAGAATATCTAAAGGATATATTTCTATTCTTTAATGGATTTTTGAAATACTTACGGAAAATGTGTCAATTGTAGACCAATCCACTTTAACGATATAAAGATATGTTTTACGACATACGGAGGCTTGCTTTCATTGTAATATAATAATTATGTATATCTATATGCCTGTTTAATAATTATTAAAAAATGCCCGTCACATGTTGGGTGTTTTTGTGAATAATAATATTATTATCACGTGATACAGATTTACATCATCAAAAAAATCTTGCATCTGTAATTTCTTATAAACTGATAGTACGCTCCCCCGAAAAAAAGATGTTCACGTTCAATTTATTTGTGTAACTCTTTCTTTAAGTCAATTTAAAAACACAACGCATAATGATGACACATTAAGTCATATGAGTACATAGTGTCACTTAAAATGCATATTTTACTTGAAAGTGAAACGCATAAATGATACAAAAAATGAGAATAATGATACTGGTTAGGAGCTCGGATGAAATTATACGTGCAGAATTGTAGCGATCATGTTCGTGCAGGTGTCCGAGATACCATATAATTATAATGTATAAAAATATAACGCCACTTTCAGATACATTCTAAAGGTATCAATGTACACAGAGACTGTAAATATTTATTCAAAATATGACATTGTAGATGTTTATATCGTATGTTTTTATGTTTAATATGTTAGCAGGCGGTATCGTATGATCTCATTTAGAGAAAATTAATTCCAACTCATTACCTATGTAAAATCTCAATTACCGCTATGAGCAGTCGGCGACATCTTTGAACCCACGGTAACAAACGAATTTGTAACTACGTGAAAGTAGTGCCGGGATATGTAATACAAGATATGTTATATTACATTACATTCTAGGCTGAATATCAATTGATCACCCTGACTTCGTTAATAATTTTAATCCTACCTTTCCTTAAAAAAGGGAAAATTTTAAATAAATTTGGGTTTTTGTTTTAAAAAAATAATATTTTTTGTTATCTTTTAAAAGGGGTCCCAGGTGACCTGATCAAAACTTACAGTTGGCCCAAAGGGAACCGCCCCCAATTCCCTCAATCACCCCGGGACTTGGGCTGACAATTTCACACACTTTATGACCCCGGTCTTGCTTCCAAGAAACCCGTTTTCTTTCTCAGCTGCTTAAACCCTTTTTTTACGCCGTTGTGTTCAAAACGGAGACCAAGAGTTTCAAGCCGTTTGCAATAAAAATTTCAACCTTCAAATAATTTTTTGATTGCAAAAAAATTTTTAAAACTATGGGCCAGTTTAAAACTCAAGCTTTTAAAGAGAATTTTTGAATCTTAGTGTTGCTAAATGTGACAAGGTTTCGGATGTGGCAATAATTCAGATAGCAAGAGGATGTAAGAAATTGCGGTATCTGAACGTACGTGGTTGTGAAGCCGTTTCAGACGATTCACTGGATACAATAGCAAGAAACTTAACTAGATTAAAATCTTTAGATATAGGTAAATGTGATATTACAGACGAAGGTTTAGTGGCCCTTGCTTACTGTAACCAACTTAGAAAGCTTAGTGTGAAGTCATGTGACGCTGTGACGGACCTAGGTATTATAACGATAGCTCAGCATTGTCACAGACTTCAACAACTGAACATACAAGATTGTCATGTAAGCCTAGATGCTTATCGGACGGTGAAGAAACACTGTAAAACGGTTCATAAAGATAAAATACATAAAAAACACACAAAAAAAAAATACCTAGAGATTTTGTTGATAAAATAAGAAAATAATATCCCATATAAATAAAAAAACACAATATAACAAAAGTGTGCTTACTAGGAAAATGTCTTTCCTTTAATTGTGGCGATGTTAAATCTTTGTCCAGACTGCCGAACATTGTAGTAAGGGTATAATAAATGTAACAAGGGAAAAGTTTCCATTTGTACTTACGGGTGCTTATTTCGTTTCAAGCTTTTTTTCATTACCATTTTCAAAACAATTTCTGGCGGTCGATTTTTTTTATAAAAGCATTATTGCCTACATGTTACGTATTAAAGTGTTTAAAGCTATATAGCTGATAAAATATTTTATAAAATTTCAGAAATAATAAAATAATGTTATTTTCACTACATTATGGCCGACTCTTCAATGATTTGTAACAAAGAATATTTACTTAATTTATGAAACATAAATATTGTACGTAAATAGAATAAAATAGAATAAATTGTTCCGGAACAAAATTTAACAGGTTTAACGACGATTTCCTTCAAGCATGCACCACTCACTTTCAATAAAATATACTGAAAATTTCTTTCATTCTAGGTATTCTGATTTTAATCATGATATAAACAATAATAGTTCAATCTACAGACAACAAATATATAGCTTTATACACTTTAAAGAAATGCCCATAGTAAGTAAATAGTTGTTTTATTGATAGTATTTCTTTTTTATACACTTAAATCTAAACACAAATTCAGTTACTAGATGACCAATTTGATAGTTTTCAGCAAATATAGATTTTGATATTGTACCTTTTTGGATATTTTTAATCTGAGGGTAAAGCATCAAAGATTAAACAATTATTATAAGCACCTGGCTTAAAAAATCTGTTATTTTCCTAAAAAAGGGAAGAATTTGTGTCTTTTTGTGATCATAATTATTACTATTATCATATAATTTGGTGAATAGAAATTCACTTTTGCCGACATTTATCTCTGTAAGGCACTCGCTCACACTTTTAAATCTGTTTCGTTTATTTTTGGCATTGTAATGTACCAAATGATGATACAAACAAACTTACATGACCTTTTATAGATCATCTCGATTTAATTTAGATAAATTATCATTTATTTTCAATAAATACATTTATTGATGCTATACATTTGTATTAAAGATTAGTGGCGTAAGCCTACAGTCGGCAAAAGCCAAATATATAGGAATGTTGTGCTGCAGACGTCATAAACGTGTTAAAACAGAGCAATATATGTTATTAAAAAATCTAAGAGCGAGTGCCTTAAGAAGTAACAAAACAGATAATCATCATCTAAAATACCTGATGCTGAATCTCAAATAGATGTTGAATGTATAGAAGGGGAGGAGCCATTGCAATAATGTTAGCAGCGCCACCTATCGTGTTACAGTATTATATTGCTGACTCATTGGGTCAGATGTTACAGAGTGCTTTTTATATTGTTTGTTATCATTCCACGTGATCTATACTGTTTTGATAATATATATGCATATGTTTTATATATAAGAAAACATGGATTCGTGAAATCCGTTGAAAAATAAATACAAAAACTCATTACTTATTTTATCATTTTATTCGTCATTTCAATATCATTTTAACGGGATTTCCTACTGGCCAAGAACCAATTCTGGATGTTTCCTTTCCTTTTCTATTAATAATAAGGCTCAGGCCGGGTTTTTGAACAAAAGGTCAGGAGAGTCACCATATGTGATACATTTGGAGTAGTTCCATTCTGAGAAGAGAGGAGTACAAACTAAGTAACATACAACATATGATAGACTATTCGACGACTTCACATTTCCTCATATCCATGTTAACTATAATACACAGTAATGTAAACAAGTATTTCACACGGTTCATTTTTGCTGTGTCTTTCAAAAGCCAAGATGGTTGCTAGAATAACATTTATACATAGTAGTTGCTACTGATGCGAGATACTCACCTAAGTAAATAACTGGTATGGTTTTCATCACATAAAGGAACAGCTTCTAAAACTCTCAAACATTATTTTGAAATTGAGAAAGATTTGTGCTATCTGTGGACACGGGTGCAATGTTCGAACACGTTTCTAAGAAAATCATAAAGTGCAACTAGGCAAAAGTCGTCACTTATGACGAGACAAAGACCCGACACGCTTTGAGCTCTAGAAACGGATTCAGAACAAAATATGGGCAACTGGCAAAAAACCATGCATTGCAATGCGGACCATATGTGTCAAGAAGATGATGTGTGTCATATTTTTCACAACTCACTGAGTTGTATTCATAAAGGCGAATCAGTAAAATACTAAGTTTGATGCAGTGGCTGAACTGTGCTCAGGTAAATTAAATGTGGCTAACTGTCGTGATACGGAGTGAAAACTACCAACACCACCCTCCTTAATTTAACAAACTAAGTTCTGAAGTCTCGCAAGACATATTGAGACCCGCAACAAGATTGACCTAACGTTAAAGAACATGATTAAGCTTGATTAATCTATTTTTATTAACATTAGAAAAAGACGAGAAAACAACTTCTTAATGTTATATACACTCTAAGTTAAAGGGAGGCAATCCAGTTTGCAAATTATCACTTCATATACAAGAGTTGTATAAACTACAAGCAGACATACACAAAATATGTGTACAAAGATTGGGCTATAATGAACTGAAACGATAATATCAACAACACACAGTTGTAAAAACAATAGATATACACATGCTTATAGAATGGTTGAACAATTTGTAGTTAAAATTGTGATTTCAATAATTTGAAGTTATTCAACACTTCAAAATATGAAATAAATAACATACGCAAGATTAACAAAATAATGAATAGTTATACAACATAAT